AAGTGAAACATCGAAACAAGGAGGAACATTTCTACCCACATTGTTTCTTTTGGTCCTAACCATTTCTAATCTTAGGAATCTATCTATTTAACAGATTAGTGACAAATACATATTTATATTAATAGTGTTCTTTTTTTAAAATAACAGCTTTATTCAGATGTCATTCTCATACTACATAATTCATCCATTTGAAGTGTAATTCAGTGGTTTGTAGTATATTCACAGAGTTTCGAGCTGAGTTCAAGACGACTCAGTCTAGAAGAGGCTACAGAGACCACTATTTCTAAATTTACTCACACCGATAAACACCCACTCCCCCTCATAAACTTCACAAACAGAGCACTTATCTGACCTAAGTGCCTTGTTGCAGAGAAAGCACCTCCCCCATTACTTCAGCCTCTGTCAGAGGGAGGATAACTCTATACCATCTCTACAGAATGGAAACCTTCATGTGTTTAACGAGACTGTTAGTGGCTGTCTTCTTTAAGCCCATTACTCTATTCCTCAAGTTCTCTTTCCAACTTATTTTTCTCTATCTAGAATTCCTATAGTTGAAGACATTCCCTTAGATTAAAGGACTGTCTCCAGAACAAAGCACAACAGATATCTGACATAAATGGGGGCAATGGAAAATTATCAGCACTTGTTAGCGTGAATTAGTCTATTCGATTAGCTGGCAGAGCAAGCATTAATCAGAAGAATTGGCGTCAAGGACAAATGTATTCATCAAGAAGAATGAAAAGGTTTCCAGCACTAAGCAGTGTTCCGGAAGGGGCATGGTTGGGAGCTTCGGGAACTCAACAGCAGCTGGAGCCCAGATGCCTGAAAGGGCAGGCTGAGCGACCCATGCACCGTTGGCATAGTTGTACCTACAGCAGGCTCTCGCATGTAACACTGGTTGCCCAACCTCAGTGCTTCAGTGAACCACAGATATGGGCGCACCTTAGCATGTATACATTTGATGGGTGATACACACACCTGTGTTTTTCAACTCGTATATTTCAGAAAAGGAGATAGAATGGGAACTGGGCCTCGTGAGAGGTAGTTCTCAAACTCACAATGTAATTTTGCTCTCGGTGCAGAAATAAGAACTTGTGTATACTCTTTCACCAGATGAATAATTGAATAAATAAATGAATGGAGTAATTTTCACTCTCAAATGTATATTTGGCATTTTATGTGGCCTTAATTTAAATTCTATTTATTCTTAATGCTTATTATAGGGATAGTGACTAGGTTTTAAGAGCAGATATTGTATTATTTTTTGAATAATGGACAATGGAATTGTGCTTTGGGTTTTCATAAATTAAGACATGCTGACATGCCTTATTCCTAGAGAAAAGAAAACGTCATTAGACATTCTCTGCACACTTAGACCAAGTTTTCAGATTATTAAAAAGCTAATGTTAATGTCTCATTTTATGTTCTTCTGAAATGAATGATTGATAATATTACTAAAAAATTTGAAAGAAAGTATTATGATAAGCAATCACTTCTTATAGGTGTTTTGTTTTAAAATTAATCATATGAAGCATTCTAATTAGCTTAAAAATGTCAATTTGTAAATACAGAAGAAAGTATTCAAAAACCCATTTTGTTATGCCTAGTATTCAACATCTCTTACTTGGTAGGTTCTCAAATAAATATTTACTGAGTGCTTTCCAAAATGAATAGAGACTTGAGAGAATTATCTTGAAATAGTCATATAGATCAGGTAAATGGCTTATCTACTTGAATTATTTGAATACCTTCATTCTTTGAGTCATCTTTTTTATGTTTAAGATTCAGAAGGCACAGCATAAATAATAAAAGAACATTAGGCTGTGATGACATGATAATAAAGAGTAATGGTTATAAGCAGCAGTTTCCCAGGACTGATATCAAATCTGTCCAAAGGACAACTTGACAAAATTTTGCAGCTGAAGTTGCTACTGGAAGAGACCCAAAGCTCCATTCTACTTATCTTGGGATGTTCCTGTGTTGGGCAAACTTTAGATTATCTTATGTAGAGATGAGTAAACTTTGTGTGGCACATTAACCATTAAGCTTCACTCTGCTTACACAGGTGCAAAAAGATGTGATAACTAGAAAACTGTTTTTTATTCAATCAATCATCCTATCAGTAGAGAGTGTAGCAACTCTATCCTATGTTTATTCTGAAAAAACAGCAGTTTAGTTAATCATGAGTCCAAAGTTCGTAGATGGCCAGTTCTTCATTATGGATTGTTTCATTGATCATTAGATTTAATAAACTTATAAATCTAAACACAGTGACTAATCTGTTTTCTAAGAAAATATGTTATTCTGTGAGCTAAATTGAAACCGGTTGGTGTTCTTTGTCCGTGGCGTGAATTCCCACAAAGAATCTGTCGTGAATTCATGATTGAAGGACAAAATGCTAGTATAGGGGGAATATCGCTTTCCCATTTGTTTGCATTTTTAAAAAAGTTTTAATTCCTTTCCATTTCAACATTGATATTTTCACTCTGTACTTGATATATTTTAAAACAATTTCCATACTGCATTCATTTCTATTTATTAATTCTGTAGTTAATTCCCCTACATGTTTCAATTTCTAGATTTAATCGTCAAAGAATAATTTTTATGACAAATAATGAACATGCAATTTTAGGGCATACTTCACATACTCAGAATTATCAGATTTACCCCATATCGATCCTAAATTTCAGATTAGAACTATACTTTTTTTTTTTTTGGTGAGGAAGATTGTCCCTGAGCTAACATCTGTGCCAATCTTCCTCTATTTTGTATGTAAGATGCTGCCACAGTATGGCTTGATGAGTGGTATGTAGGTCCACATCCGGGATCCAAACCTGCAATCTCTGGGCTGTCCAAGGGAAGCGTGCGAACTTAACCACTACACCACTGGGCCAGCCCCTATACTACTTTTTTTTTTTTTTACTTATTAAATATCTGAACTTAAGCAGTTCATTATGTACTCTACTGCATGTAAAATATGTAAAATATAATTTTAAGGAAACTACTGTCTGATGTCGAACATACAATGTACATTACTGTACAATATAATGTCTAATGTGCACTATTCTCATGAGTCTTTCATTCTTACTTAACCTCTTTTCAGTACAGTACACATACCCTGAACTGTGCTTCCTGTCTCCAGTTCAGAGACGATATTTTACCTTCTCCAGGTAATACCTAGCAGGCTTCCACTGGGAAGTGCTGGGGTGTGTGTGAGAGTGTGGGGGTGGAGAGGGGACACCACTGGGGATTAAGCGCTTCTCAAACAGCTTCTACTGCATCCTCCTTAGAGTACCTCCTCCTTTATCCCCTAGTCCAGAAATGCCTGTTGTGTCAATTCCCAGGTCCTTTCAAGATTCTAGAAGGTAAATTGGGTTGGTTTTCAGTTTTCTCCACTGCTGCTTTGGAATTTAACTTTCTCAGGTTTTCTAAGTCAGTTACCATTCATTTGCTTTCTAGCTTCCAAACTTTTAAGTTGATATCCTTCCCAGAACAAAATATTTTAAAATAACATCTGAACAAAAAATGTATTTTGGATACATTCATTCTTTGTTCTTTAAGTTTCTTATTGATTTTATCTGAATAGCTCTGTTAATGAATTTATGTTTCGCTGCAGAGGTTCCAGTTGTAATCTCAAATGCCTGTAGGGGCCAGGCAGGTGTTCCGGCTCCTCTCACTGGATCAAAACTCTAGACAGGTCAGGGTCAGAAATAATTAGTTAAGTCTGGGAGAATCCCAGAGCATTATAACTTGTGCCCTACTTTCCATTTGGGACGGTAGGAGAATACTTGCCCCAGGCCCATAGGCAGCAGCAGCAGTAGGATAGAGATGACTTTGTGATGAGGTGGCGAGACAGAGGGCCTAAACAGTCCCCAGGTCCCCACCCTGCTGGTTCCCCATGGTTTGTACTTAGAGGGGACAGTTTCAGATGTTCCCATGTGTCCCCAGTGAGGAGCATGGGAAGCAGGTAAGACATGCAAGTCAGAGGCATTGCCAGGGGGCCACCATAGTGAGAGGCAAGGGGACAAAGTGGAGCCAGGGGCCAGATGGAGTTCATGTCTAAGATGCAAAGGATGCATGACTCCAGGAAAGGCTGAGCTGAGACCTTTGGAGGTGGTGGGAGAGGTAGGTTGTTGCCTGGTCCCAACTATGTTGAGAAAACAGACCACAAGGGAAACCATGGATTTCAGCAGTGGATACAAGTGGGACCCCAGGAAACCAGCAGTCCCTCCCTTCCTCAGGAGGTCCAGTAACCTGTCTCCTCTTGGAGACGCCATCTTGGGAAGGAGGAGGAGACCATAGTGGATCTTTGAGCACAAAGAAACAGCCTTGATGGAGTCTGGACCTGGAATTTAACTAAACGTTTATCTGAAAGAGACATTTAAAATGAAAGAGACTATTTCAAAGCAAAAGAAACTTTTAATCTGAAAGAGACTGAATTACCTTTGACTAGCCAATTTAAATGCCCCTCTTATCAGCAGAAATTGTGGGCTCATAAGGAAGAGTAGATAATTTATAACAACTAAAGAAGCCACATTTTTCTCAAAATACCTGAGTTGTTAGCATACGTGTCAAAATAGGATTGGGGCCTCTGTTGGAATGTTGATTTTATCTGCATTCATTGAGTGCCACTTCATTAGGTATTTTAAAAATGTTTTATATATTTATTATGTATGTTGCATCCAGTGGTATAATTGTTTGAATATGAAACTAGAGAAATCCAGGGAATTTCTCCCCGCCATGCACTGTAACAGTTAAAACAGGTAACAGACAACTGCAGGTTGTGTTAGGACACAAGATTGTCATTTGATATTCACTACCGTTGCAAAATCAGCTTGTTAAGGAAAGACGACTAGACTCCCCCAAATATCTTGATGTTTACGTGTTTGATGGTCATAATATAAATGCCAATTGCGGAGTATGACTTACAAAAAAATTATTGCTTTAAATATCATTAAGTTATTGCTAGCCCCAAAGAGAAAAAGAGTTGCAAAACATAGCTGAATGTACGTTTCTGTGACAGCAGGCATTTGCCTCCTATTCCTTTTCCTCAGAACACAATAAGATAAACGTCTAAAAGCCTTGGTTTTAGGGTTGGTGTCAACAGTTTGCTATACTGGTGCTCAAAGCCATTAATGTCCCCCCGTGTAAGGGCGCGTGGGTGAGCGCATGCGTGCTCCCGTCTGCGTGAGACTTAAGCCCTGGGATAAAGGGTGACTGTGTCGTAGCCCTCTGGGGGCCTCATGCGGGCTCGGGCGTGAGTTTCGCAGTACAGCTCCCCCTCCACGAAGAAGTAGCCCTTCTGTTTGAGGTTGAGGTTACAGTCTGCACACACGAAGCACTCCGGATGCCGGTACTTATCCCGCGCCTTCACAACGGCACCCCTGTGGAGACAAAGGAGAGCCAGTCAAAAACACAAAGTCAGCAACGTGATACAAAGGGAGACGACACGACAGAAAAGACAGGTGTTATCTGTTTCATGTTCAGGAAACAATAGCGTCCAGCTGTAAACCGGGCGCAGCTGGGAAATTGACGTAATTATCAGGGGTGATTTTCCCCATAGTTTCTTTGAAAGAGGGAGACAAGATACAGATAAGACACAGCATTCGGATTTTGACCAAAGTTGTGTACACGACTGAAAGTCCCTCAGGTTGGTTTCTATTTTGGTGGTCCAGCCTCTATTCTATGGAACATGGAGAAAACAGATCGAAGAGCAGAGATGGAATTTCCACCCGGTAGGTGGACTCACCTCTACTGTCAAAACAGTTTACTCCACCTTAGGAGCAATAATTGCTTTTGGCAACATCACAAACTATCGTATTTTATGAGGTCCTCTCTGCTCCCAAGCGCCCGGTCCCACATTCCACTCTTTGCTCTAACCAGGCTTATCCCCCACTGCCCTCTTGGGATGTATCCTGATAACTGGACAGATGGTACTTCAGTGTGTGAGCTAATGGTAGAGGAAGAGAATAAAGGGATGGCTATGTGGAGCATTTGTAGTGGAGAGATTGAAATGATCTGGTTCGCCTGAAGATTTGAACTAGCAAGTGCGGCTATTCAAACAGGAAGGCCCTTGAAATGGAAGCTGGCTGTATTTTTAAAAAATTATATTTCAATATTCGTGCCACTTAAGAAACTAGGTAAAGATAATGTGTTTTAATTAACAACCTGGACCCCCGTATTTGTTTCCCTGGGTTTATACAGAAAAGTAAATACTCAAAGACTATTAACAAAGGGAGAGCTTTTTGAAGTGAAGCTATGATTCTTGATTATTTTTTAATATACTTCTGGGGCAATTTTTTTTAAATCAGACTACATGTGAAATTATAAGTCGAGATTGCTGACTCACATTATATGCCAATTTTAGGGAACATCTAAGGAATTCTGGTCAAAATATGCTAAAGGTGGTGGACATTGTATTTCAAGTCAATGAAGAGAAATAGAGACCCGATACCAAGATTTATAGTGAATTCCTGGGTTAAAAATGAAACTTACACAATGCCACTCCCACATTTGTCACAGAGTGGCATCTTTTGTGTGCTGCCAGCACCACCGTGGACCTTTGTAACTGGAGCCCTCACACTCCGAGTTCCAGCAGGACGGTCATCTGAAAAAGAAAGTGTTTCCATTTATGGCAAGGAACAGCTGGCCACAGTCTGTACTTTGCTTCTATTTTAAGCTGTGCACTTTAACCTGAGGAATTCTTCAATTGCACCCGTACTATCATTTTAAAAGGAATAGGACCAGTTCAAGCATTACATGTTCTGAAACAGAGCCTTGCCAAACGGAATTAGTTAAAAAATGTTGTTGTTGTTGTTGTAGCGGGCTGTTACAAAATGCTCAAAGGAGCAGGGAACGTTTTGCACTTTTTTTGTTGTTGTAAAATATACATAACATAGAATTGACCATCTTAACCATTTTTAGTTGTGCAATTCAGTAGCATTAAGTACAGTTACAATGTTGTGAAACCATGGCCTCTATCCATTTCCAGGACTTTTTCATCATCCCAAACAGAAACTCCGTATCCATCAGACAGTAACTCCCCATTCCCCTTTCCTCTCAGACCCTGCTAACCTCTATTCTCCTTTCTGTCTCTATGATTTACCTATTCTAGATTCCTTACGTAAGTGGAATCATGCAATATTTGTCTTTTTGTGTCTGGCTTATTTCACTTAGCATGATGTTTTCAAGGTTCATCCATGTTGCAGCATGCGTCAGAATCTCCTTCCTTTTTAAGGCTGAATAATATTCCATTGCACGCATATACCACATTTTGTTTATCCATTCATCTGTGTATAGACATTTGGGTTGTTTCCACCTTTTGGCTATTGTGGATAATGCTGCTATGAACATTGGTGTACAAGTATCCGTTTGAGTCCTTGCTTTCAATTCTTTTAGGTATATACCTAGGAGTGGAATTACTGGATGACATGGTAATTCTATGTTTAACTTTTCCAGGAACCACCATACTGTTTTCCACAGTGGCTGCACCATTTTACATTCCCATCAGCAATGTACAAAGGTTCCCATTTCTCTACATCCTCACCAACACTTATTTTCAATTTTTTTGATAATAGCCATCCTAATGGGGCATTTTGCATTTCTGTGAAAGTGTTAAAGGACAATATATATCTTTGGGGTAGGGGGGTGGAAAACACTGGTAAAAGTATGAGCCCTGAAGACAGAGGAGACCCAGCTCTGCTTCTTACAGGCTGTGTGACTTTGTACAAATCCACCCTCTCTGTGCCTTAGTTTCTCATTTGTTAAATAGGGAAAATAATAGCTCCTACCTCACAGAGTTATTGTGAGGATGAAATGATCATGGACACAAAGTACTTAGCACAGGATTTGGAACATGGGAAGGCTCCCTTACAGTGTTGTTTTTAAATTTTGATGATGACGATACCCTGGAGTGTGGGGGAGGCTGAGAAATTTTGCAATATCCATTTAAAACTCTACTTCAAAATTTCTAAGCTGAGCTGGCCCTTGACTACTGTGGATGGAATTTATCCTTGAGTCCCTCTTACCACCAAGTTGGTGGCTACTTGGATGTGTCCCAGAAGCTCCTTTCCTAAACCAGGTACCACCCAAATCCTTCTGAGCAAAGATTCATTTGATTACTGATTAAAATCACTTTTTAGACTTTTATTCTCAGTCTGTGTGCTATCCTCCCCTCCCCTGACCCTTCCAACAGCCTCTGTCAATGCTGTTTCAGCAGAGGTTCATGGCTGCTCACCATCGTTAACTAGTTCCTGGAGCACTCTGAAGGAGCCTGACTGGCGAGGCTGAGTAGGTTCATCCCGATTGTCGTGGAGCATCCGGTACACGTCCGACTGGGGGGGCACCGAGGCGACGGGTTCACTGAAACAATATGGCGGGTGAGGCAGCGTCAGGGGCATTGTGAGGCACCAGGTGTGCAAGAAGCCACACGACATCAATAAGCAGTAATCACTATATTTACAGCAACTCTTCTGTACTTTCAAGTTTCCTCTATTATAGTTAAAAATACAATGTGAATTCACATGGGTTGCCTTAAAAATATCATGAATTCACCCGGGGATCACATCCGCACTTCTCCATTTGGCAAAATACTTTGGAGGGCAACTAAAACGTGATTGCTGGGAAATAGTAACTTTAAAAAATAACACTTGTGTCTAATGGATATATAATTATAATGTGAACAAAATTAACTTTTCTCAGAAAAAAAGGCAACATACACATGATAGAAAGTGCAGGAGTGAGCCCAGTTTGATTATTCTCAGTCACGAAGTTGTCAATGAAATTCAGATTCATTTCTGATATTAAACTAAATGTGTATGGTTTAATTTTGTTTTTAAGGTTAATTTGCTTCTTAACTCCTGGAAACAACAAAGATATTTTGCTTGTAAATTGAAGAAATTCAACTTAGTGTTTGAAAGCACATAATGTAGAAACTTTCACATATACCTCAGTTATATTGACTACACTATATTTTCTATAAGTAGCCACATTATTATTCATTTTCAACAATGATAGCAGCTTTATTTTAATAAATTTCTACAAAGATATTCATGATGGGCTATTAAAAATGCCATAATAAGGCTACATGTCAGGCACTAAAAGCTTTATTATTTTATGTCATTTAATTACATTATCTATAAAAGGTAATTGCTATTTGCACATATTTTTATTACCTATATCATATTTGGAAATAATTATCTTATATACCTGAAATTCCTTGCAAAATGGCTTTGAAATACATTATGCTATTTTTATCTCATTGTATTCATCCCAAGACATATCTTTGAGAAATTGTTACATAGCACCATTAGCATTGTAATACTTTAATTTATAAAAAGTGGTTCTGTAATATTGAAAGAAGTAATAAGATTTTATCTTATAATAAATCTTTCTAATTGAAAATGCTTGATGGCAAAAGTACTTTGAACAAATATTCATACTAAAGAAGAAATCTGTCAAAATAGAGACCAATGGAAATTACGTATCTACGTTAATAGCTTGAGGTATTCACTTATAAACTCTTATTCATGGCAAAAAGTTTAAATGGAAACATAATTACCTCTCCACAAGGTGCCATTAGGAGAGAGACAAGGTTTCATCTCTCTTAAAACTTCTCTGAACCTCTCATCCCTTTCCCAATTTTTGACCCCCAAAAAGAGAGACAGTATGCTAGATTATAAATCACTTTTGAGAATTATTATACCAAATATTTGTAAAGTCCATTATAGCTTTTCAAAAGACATATACATTTGGTCCTTCCATGATTTTATTCTATTGCGATCTGTCACATAAAGCTCTACTTAGTCAATTTTTCAAATCACTTTTATCATTAGGCCTACATATTTGCAATAAATCCTTAGTATTTTTTTCTTTAAACCTTTTTACATAGCTTTCTTTCAATTAAGACAATGTTAAAAGACACCAGTAAAGTTGACATTGCCCACGTGTTTAGTTAATATGCCCATGGTTCAAAAAGACTCATATTACCTCATTGAGGGTGCTTCCCCTAGCGCTGTTGAAACCTGACCCTGAAGTGTTTCCATAATATTGTCATCTGAGTACAACTGCATAGGTGTATTAAACTGGGCATGTACAATCTTCACACCAGGAAGTTCCATTTCCAAAGGAATGTTAGGGGCCATCTTAGCAGCAACTTTCAAGTCACCTGGGCAAATAGTACTAAGAGTACTGACAGAAGAAGGGGTGCTACGTCCACTGCCACCGTCAATACCGGACGGAGTACTGCATCCACTGTGTTAATGACCACGTTACACAGAGGTGACACAGGAACCACAAAATCCAGACAGAACACAGAGAACAAGTGCAGAGAGGTTAAAAGGAATTGAAGACAAAAAGGAGAGGTGAATTCAATCAAATTAAAACAAAATGTTTATTTTAAAGAGGGAAGTCATTTGAAAATTCATGATTGAAAAAAGTTTAACAAAATTCAAAGGGACAGGTGATATTGCATTTTTTGGCTCTCTTCTCCCGGGAGATATGTAAGTTGAGGGTTGCACATAGAAAGAGTTGTATATAAATAAGTAGAGAAGATGTGAAGATCCTCACTTTTTAAAAATAGGCCAAATAATGTTAAACTTGACAATATCACAGACAAATGATGCAAGGAAATTACATCGGCTGGACATCCTTTTACATTTCTGAGATTCAATATTTAAAATTAAAACATTAGTGAATGGTCCTTCACCAATAGTAACTGAATACGCAGCATGAAGATCCAAATATTTAGGTGAAACATTTCAAAATAAGAAGTATGTTTCAGAAATGCAGTTGAGTTTTAATTGAATACTAATTGGCAACTTGTAGGTTAGGTGATGATTATGTTTTAAGGCTATTTTGTCAATGTTTTATTGTTACTATTTTAGCTTTTTCCATTTTCATTCTTTAATTTTGTGAAGAATACACTTGAAGAAATTGTTCAGTGATTTAATACAGGCTCTAGAAACAGCCAATAAATGCTTGTCACCTTGAAATTAATGATTAGAGGGCAAATAAGGTTATTTTTTGGACTCTTGGATGCTACCTAGGGCTAGAATATATTTCTTTAATACATAGCTATTTCAAGTAAAATTTTGCAAGCACACATATATTTCCATGCATATTTCTCATTTCCTTTTAAAGACAAGTTGAAGGGACTTATTAAAACGTCAGAAAGTCCAGCCATACAATTTTAAGGACAACTAGAGAGATTTCATATTCTCTACAAAGCTGGATAGGAGGCTAGTCACAACTGATATGCTGATGACTAAAAGGTCATTTTCCTCTGTGCATTTAAAGTGCAGCATGAGAAATGCATTTTATGAGAAAATGGAATATACTGAGATTTTTTAAAAAGCAGTCATTTAAGACAAAGCCAAAATAAATATTAGTATTAATGTAAACATCTATCATGCCTGCCAGTTAGTGCTGCTGTAAACTCAAGACAGAGAATAATTTATACGGTGTATTTATCTCAAAGTCAGTATTCTCGTAGGGCTCAAGTATGGCCCCATATCTGCGTTTACTCTCCAGGGCATTGCTAACCTCAGCCCCATAGAGAGCAAAACCCAAAGGAGATTGGACATTGACTTTGTTGGTTTCATCAATGTTGCAGCCTGATGAGTCTGGACAACTCACGCCACTAAATGGATTTAAAAAATTTTTTGTCTTATGTGACCTAATTCAACCACCTGCACAGCCTAAATGAAGCAGGTACGTATGGACTTGCTCCTTCACTTCCTGGTTGTTGAGAACCTGTTTAAAACTCAATCTGCACATTGGTTGATCCCAAAGTATCAAGGGGCTTATTCACCATTTTCATAGGTTCAACACTACACTGGCTCCGGAAATTGACTTAAGTTGGTAAAAAAATAGAAGTAAAATTTCAGTTATGGTGCAGCTTAGTCAGGATCATATTGATTTGACCTCAGTATAATGAAGCTTATGAAACTGTAATTTAGGGATTTGAAACACTGAGTTAAATCTTGAGAGACTTGGGCTCAAAATAGTGAACCTTTTCAACAAGCATTTATAACAACTCTGATCTTACTGTGTGCCAGGCACAGTGCTAGATGGGGGACAGATAAACCATGATCAATTCAGAACGTACAGGTATACCTTATTTTATAGTCATAATTAGTAATCTTTTTCTGTTATTAGTGTTCTTGTATATAACTTGACTTAAGCAAAGATTGTGTGGGCCGGCCCCGTGGCTTAGCGGTTAAGTGCGCGCACTCCGCTGCTGGCGGCCCGGGTTCCGATCCTGGGGGCGCACCGACGCACTGCTTCTCTGGCCATGCTGAGGCTGCGTCCCACATACAGCAACTAGAAGGATGTGCAACTATGGCATACAGCTATCTACTGGGGCTTTGGGGGAAAAAAACTAAATAAATCAAATTATTAAAAAAAAAAAAAAAGATTGTGTCTTCTATCCCCTCCTTTCTTATCATTCTATTTAGGGGTCCATGTCTATTGAATAGATAGGACACAAACCCTAAACAAACAAGAATTACCTTTTTATAAATTTCTGGGACAATTTTAAAAGATCTCTTGAACTGATGCTTTAAATGAAATAGTTTTCATGGACTTGTCACTGTGGATAGCATCGTGAGTTACCGTGACTTACTCCTGTGACTTGGAAAGATAGGTACTAACAAGATTTCTTGAGGTTGACTTAGTGACTTGGCAAGACCACTTGTTCGGTTGCTGATACACTCAATTACTTCACTCCTGGATAGACCATTAGACAGAGAACTAATTCCCCTGGTGTGCGTATCGACTTTTGGAGACGTGCTTCTGGAAGTGACTTTCCAAAAGCTGCTCACAAGATTGTATTTTATCATTTGGATCTATAAAATACCTTGTATATATTTTTATTATAGCTTTGGCTTTAAAATTTTACATATTTGCATATGAAAATACTGGTCTTTTAATATGCTTCAGTTATAATGAGATAATTAAAAGAACTGTAACTAGTAGTAAGACCCAAGAAGATTAACATATTAACAACTTAGCATCTCCAACTTACTTCCGATTAAAAAGTTGTTCATGAATGGTGTAGCTATAACTTGGTATGTAGCCACTCAAAATTCCACCTTGATGAAGAATCATTTGGTAAGAACAAGAAATTCAGAAGCTAGAGCAAATAGTGAGGGGGCACAGGAAGAAAGGAAGGATAGTAGAGGCGTTTTTACAATTCTTTAAGATTTGTGTACTGGCACCTCTTTTTTAAGCAAATTCTCTCATCCCTGTTTCTCTTCTCCCCTCTTCCACATTCAGCTATACTGAGAGGCACCTTACAATGACAAAATTATGAGTGGCTTGTCATATCACCATGTTTGAATTAAAATGAAAATATAAAAGAAGGGCATTATATACCTGAATCGCTCTGACTTTCCCTGAATTTTTATATGATTAAATGTGTTCTTGGTCTTTAGTAAAGGCAAGATATGTGTTCCTCTAATGTATCACTTCTTCAAGCCTCCTGAAATCTGATAGCTCAAGTTAGTGACTCACAGTTATGCTAACCTCAAAAGAACACAAGTATATTAATTATACTCTGCTTCGTTAGGAAGTTGTATATATATTTATTCAATAGCAAAGTAGCATTTTAACTTTTAGTCTAGTGTTGTTATGTTATTGGGAGTGGGGCTGGGAAGCTGTTGAATGTGGGGAAATAAGGAAAAGACGCAGAGGAGGATGCAATGGGAATAAGGGAAAAACCAGAAGTAAAAAAGAATGGGGCAGAGTTGCAAGTACAAGGGAGGGATAATAGCTCCTGGTTCATCTTGCACTCAGGAAATATGATCAGGTACCCTCAGGATTTTGTTCCTTTAGCTAATGAACATTTATTGAGCATTTACTCTGTCTCAGTCTCATTTCTAGGTGCTGGGGGTGTGAGGGGCTCACATGCAAGTGAGGGAAGATGTATTTGGTAGTCGTTGCCTTTCCAGCACCTCTCTCCTGCCCCTCCACTGCATTGCTTCTTTCTGAGCCAACCACAAAACCGTCCGGCTGATTTTGAGGTAATCCTGTGGCCCTGACTCCAGCTCACGGAAAGGTCTGCACATGGAAATCATATATCAAGTGCTGACTGACCATCCACAGCAGGCATCATAAACTCAGACGTCTCCAGGGGCTAGGAGGGTCACACATATGTGAAAATGGGCCAGGTCTCCTACGCTTAGGAGTGATGGGCGTCTCGACAAGATGGAGAGTTAGATGTTCCATCTTAAGGCACATACGTCAGTTCAATTTTTTAAAACAACAAGAGGGTTAAATAAAACATTGGCTGTGAATTGAATCCACCTATGGGCCACCAGTTTGGGACGCCTGATGTAGATCATTACTCAGTGATCTTAACCTGTTAGGATCAATCCAGCCTAACCACCAACTTCCTTCCTCTGGGCTGACTGATGTAGCTGAGGTCAGAGGAATGGGTTTGAGGTTTGCTCAAGTCACTATTTCCTGATGCAGCAATACAGGACAGTAATTTCTGCCCCCTTAGGTTGGAATTCAATTTCTAGAGCAGATATTTGAAAAGATCATTTGAAGATAATCTGTTTCTCTGATTGACAGACAACAATGAAGAGCGTGCTCGTTATTATTCCAACGTGTACGCAGTTATCCATGAGGGTAGCCAACATAGCTCCCTCCCTCCCAACTCTTTCTTTATACTATTTTCCCCCAAGTTTCAAGTTTTCAAGTGGCCTCTCTTCCTTTGCAAGTATCTGTAAGAATGCAAATTTATTTTTACGTCAGAGCTTGAATGAGTGGGGTTACCCCGTGGGCTCGATGGTGCAGTGAGAAGCGGGTGCTGAGGTGGAATGATCAGAGTCTGCTAAACACATAAAGCTACACCAGGTTCCCACATTTGCCCCGCCCCCTTCCTTACTCCTGACCCAAGGCTGGTTCCATTTCTGTTCCTGCTGGCTGGGCCTTTCTGACCCAGGATGGGGTTTGTCTGCCTGCCTCAAAGGTCACTGTGTTCTGGATGGGATCCTCAGAACAGCAGGGGTATTAGTTATAAATATATGTTGTGATTGCATAACATTTCACGCCTCCATAATCTTGTCAATATTTGCTCTCCGAAATGGAGGTTAGTTCGATACTATTCTCTGCGAAGTGAGTTTGTTTATTTTGCTTTTGAAATAAGCTTCAAAATGAGAAAAGTCACTCCAAACACCTAAAAGTTACTTTTCTTGGAGATTAGTATGGATTCGTTAAAGAAGCATGCACTCCAAATTTCGCAATCTCAAAGTTTATGACCTGGTTCGGCCTGGGATTATGAAAGGTTTGGGCCGAATATTGTGCTTGTGTTCAAAGTAGTTCACCTCCTGTAAAAACAAAGGGTTAAAAAGTCCCTCAGTGGAAGATTAATATATTCTTTTAGATAAAATTAAATGAACGATAATTATACAGACCGGATTATTTACCATCAAATATTGGCATGACTAACAAGGGTGACGATGGACCCAGAGCCATTTCTTCGTTTTAACCATCTGTTCACTAAATGTTCCGAAACTGGCGGATTGGACTCCAGAACATGAGAACCATGTTCTAGATGCTGGTATTCAAAATAAAAATCTGATCGTGACTTCAGGAAAGTAAAAATAAAACAGCAAGAGCTGGACTTGTGAAAGGAAAAGAAATCGTAATATCACTGTTAAGAAGGTGGTGTCCAGAAACCGAGTTGGATACTTACTTTTGAGGTGAACTAGGAATGAGACCCCGCAGCTGTCCGTGAAGCGCATCTTGTATATTGCTAGTTGAATAGAGCCCAATTGGTGAGTTATAGGAGGCGCTCACTACCTGTCTTTTGTCATCAATGTTTGCTGCTGCAACAAAAGGCTGGGCCCTTCTGTTGTGCGCGGTACCAATGGGTTTGAACTCCTGTACAATGGCAGACAAAATACACAGAGCCACAGAATGCACAACAAAGCCGTTAATGAGCAAACCAACAGCATCGCTACTGTTAATCAAGGCTTCTTTACCCACTATGAGATTAATGGCAAGGTTAAAGGGGGAGTTAGGTGTAAACATTTCTACTTCGTCTGTGAAATTTACATGTGTTATATTCATCCACCAAATGTTAAGGTGCAAAGGAAGTGATTGTATTTAAAATATTATAAAATAATTTGAACATTGTATCTTTTGTCTGCCCCCTACTGAATTCTACATCTATAGCTTTAAGAAATTCTCATACGACTTATTTGAATACAGAAATGTTGTGTCAGAAAGGAGATTTTTGGCATAGAAAAATGATTCTACTTAACATTTTCTCAAGTAGAACTTATATAGGCTTTATCTTCTATTAGTATCTTAATAAAATTTCCTCCATTTTAGGAAATGGAGGAATAAAAGAGTCAGAAAGGGAGTGAGCATTTATGAATAACTATACTGAATCATTTTAACTAATCCAAGTAAAAGTTCTGTTTTTTCTTAACACTTACAACAAAAAAACAAATTCTTAATTTGGATTAAGTTATAACCTTAAATTTAGAAAAAATAATAAGAATTAAAAGACTCTCATTTCTTATGAAAGCAGGAATAACATTTATAGAAACCCCACCGTTTTTTTGTGATGACTTTATGTTTGTGTTTAAAGAACTGTTTATGTTTACTCTAGTCCCAGAAAGACTAAAGTCCCTATAATTCAGAGACAGCTAATGTATATGATTCACAAAAAGATTTTCACTTTGTTGCTTTGGGAAAAGGACCAAACATCAGAATCCTAAACTCTGAGTTTGAAATATGCCTGAATGATGTGAAACTCTATGTTATTTTTTAATGTAGGAATCAGATGTTTTCCAATTTTTATATACATTTATAATTTTTTAAAGTCATTAATTTTTTTTTTTTCTTCTAAGCGATAGAACAAAAGCAAAAGGAAATGCTAAAATACACGCAAGCTGATTCTCTTTCCAAATCTTTTCATTTGGCAGAATTAGTAAGATAAATCTTCACAACGATATTTTCAGTCACAAATTCACATCAACCTCATTTACTTTTGTGAACGTGCCGCCAGTGTTTCACACATTTCAAATACAACATTTATGATCATTTAAAAGGGTATTGGAAAGAGACTGTTTTTATTTAAAAAATAAAAAGATCTTGTAATATTCTTGCTCATGTCATTTTTACATTTTTGTCATTATAGGTGAGTAAGTTGTAGGACGGTGCTTTTTGTTAGAAAAGAGACTGTCTCCCTTTCCCAGGGGTGGAACCAGAGTTTTGCATAGAGATTCTTGTGCCAGAGAAGACCAACAACTTCCTGGCGCCCGAGCAGCAAAATGCTTTCTTTTGGCTCTCTAGAGCAGGCGGTCCTCCCACATACTCCCTATTCTCCCGTCTAGGCCTATTGGCGAAGCCCTCTTTTCCTAATAGTTATGACAAGGCAAATGGGGTGTAGCTTCACATACTAGCCTACCGAGGCTTTCACTCCAGCTGCCTCAAATCTCATGCTACTTGAACTTCTGTGATGCGGCGAAAAGCAGCTTTTCTCTCAGCACCTTTGCCAGCATATTGTAACAGCCTCCTGAACTTAAAAAGGAGATCTGAGTTGAATACAACAGCTTATGATTCTATAGTGTGACTCAATTGACTGATATCTTACTGATTCATTTATTGTCTTCCAGAATAATGGCTCACTGCCGAGCAGCTGGTTGGTGACAATATAGTTGCTGATATTAGATAGCAGCATGACTGAAACAACCAAAGGTGGCTTTAGAAAAATGCTGAATCCCAGAACATATGAAAATGTGTGTAGTCAAACATTTATGCAGTGGTACAATCTGATTGTTGTGGTTGATCTGATAATGAATTCGGGCTGGCTGTATTTTATGATTGACTCTTATGATTAGCCATTATTATGGCCCGAAAAAAGTGAGCTGGAAAGAATTTTAAGTAATGACAATGGCCATGATTCAAGCCTTTGTTGCCCTTTTTGATATGAAAGAAGACAGAAAGCTAATTGCCTAATTTAGTTTTTTGTGGATTATAAATCTCTCAGGCTAATTAAAAGAGTGAATCAGGCAGGACTGAAGGACTCAAGCTTTGTGCAACTTAGCTTTTTTTTAAAAAAAAAAGCACACAAAGTATGATGTACCTTAAAGATCTTGGTAAATAGAATAGAATTTACAAAAATTAGTTAATATAATATGATGGCTTTATGGGAAAAAAATCTCTGCCCTTATTTCTTCTTTGTCTTAAAATGATAAATATACATAGACGGTGCTTGTCCTGTTAATGAGGCAACTTCTTTGAAAATATTTGTGCACTATAATCTCTAGTAGTCCTTCCAAATAGCAGCATATAAGTTAATCAGCTTCAAGCTTTTTCTTTGCCATTTGCAGTTTTGGTTATATATTGCAAAGACCACAAATGTGTAATTTGTTAAAAGAAAAAAATAAAACCCTCTATTTTCTACTCAGATCATAAAAGGAAGTGTTTCTAACACAGGCTTCAAACATTTGTATTTAGGCTTTGCAAAGCATTAGTTGTGGGCTGCTAGGGTCATTCCAAAAAGCACAATGAAATGTATACACCAAAGGTAAACAAAAAATTTAAGTATGGCTTGCAGAGGCAATATTCTATCCAAGTCTTACATCATTGTTGATGGTCAAACAGAATCAAAAGACAAAACCAATTAGCAGTTTGCTATTCCACTTTTATTCCTTTTTATTTTTCCTGGAAAATCATTAGTAATGGAAAATACCAGCAAAAATTTATATAGTAGTTAATACAGTCCAGCTCTTGTGTTTATTCTACCCAGACAAAAGCATCCAAATGATTCTTATCTCTTAGGAATTCAATAAATAATCATTGCAATTAATTAAATGTCTAAACGCAATTGCTTACATTTTTAAATATTATTTTTAAATGTTAGGAGCTTATATTAAGGAATAATATTTTGAATTAATGAAATGCTAGAGCTGCCAGAGTAAAAGCTAAGAAACTTGACAGAGATCCACCAACATAGGGAGAATGTAGCTCTTGACAACAATGGCCCAAGTCCTTGGAATGACCTCAGCCATGACAGCATTTAAAGACAGTTCACCTTTCAATTTCTTACTTGGAGAAGTTGTCCACAGATAAAGATTCAGTCCAAGAAATAAGGCAATTACCAGCTCCAACAGAAACCACATGTTTGATAATATACATATATATTTATTTATTTCTAAGAAAAAATGGTGAGAAAATAAGGGAAATAAACTATCTCAAGTGATCATATATTTGATCAAGCCACACTGAGTAAATGATTATATTTTATCATGTTTGGAATTTATGAACAATCATCCCCCTCCAAGCTCAACTCCCGAATGAAAAATAGTTACCCTTATAATTATTTTTTCTTTAGTGATCTGTTTCAAGTGTTTCCCATATCTCATTGGGGAAGAGTTTGGGCAAATGGGGATTAAGAGCTTGTTTTGTGTAGGGCACCTTCCAGTTATGAAAACATTGTAGAATAAAATTATATTATGAAAATATAAACAACTTCAACTCATACCTCACTTGTCTGTGCATGTAGTTCATCTCTATTATCAAATCTTCTGTGGCAAGGACGCAATCCTTTATATGGAAATGGAAACGGCTATCTTCTCATTTAGAAAAGAACCATTTTTGTTTCTGAAAAGCATCTTTCCTGTATTTTGATAGCTACATTGTAATTTTGAGTTGTTAACTAACATTGAACAAAGATGAGGGTAATGTTTCATTTGAGAATGTAAGCTTTGAAGAGAGACAAAGAACTCTACCAACATACCTTTAGTCTAGAGTAGTGCTTTGTACAGAAAAATGCACGGATCTGCTCATAGGCCATGTTCAAGACTGTGTGGAAGAAGTTTATTCAATGCCTGGGGGTTGATCTAAACAAATTCTAAGGTTTCTTTTAAGCCTAAGATTCGAGTCTAAATTCATAAAAACAAAATTTAACTATTTAATAATAGCATGGAAAGATGAAATAAAAAAGCTACATACTAAAATTTTGTATCAATGATTCCTATAACTGTGTAAGAAAAAGTCCCTCAAATCTAAACCTATGCATGCATAGGCAAAAAGACTGGAAATAAATACACTAACATTTTATTATTTGTGGCTGGGCTTGGATGGTAGGATATAGTGGGGTTTTTTTCAATTAATATATATTACTGTTAAAGTGAAAAAGAGTATTTTATTCCAATAGCAAAGGTTACATAATTACAACAGAAGTTTGACCCAGATTGAAAAACAAGAACTCGGATATTGTACTGCTCCACGGCATTTTGCTGTTCATCTACAGTGGCATCTTAAAGCATGATATATTAATGGCATTTCTTCCTCAGACTGACACACCTTTGTTGTCCAGAAGGATGCTTTACTTCTCATTTTGAAAAAAAAGAAAAAAAGAAAGAAAAAAAAAGAAAAAAGAGAAAAAAAAGACATCTCTGCATAGCTTGTGTTAATTAAAAAAAATACAAGAAGAATACAAACATAACCACCATTTAGCTTTTCTCTAATCTCATTCTACAAGTTAAATTCACTGCTTGTTTTTTATCACTGCACTTTGTTCTGGTTTATGTTGTAGGATTTTCCGATAGCAGAGGTTCTGCTGAAGTTTAGCTATTTTGTGTAGGGAATATCTGTCCTGAAGTGCCAAGGTATGTGAACTGGTCATGCAGAAATCTGGCCTGAGTATCATGAGGAATAGCAATCCTCTGGTCTTTTAGGAGAAGAACTGAAATGGTTCTTATCTCTGAGCCCTTCAAACACTGGCCTCTTGGAGAGGGTGCCAGTAAGAATTGGTCATGACTCAAACTAATGGAATGTTCTAAGGCTCCACCTGCCTGGCTTCTGAAGCCCTTAACCCAATCTTCATCTTTTTTAAAAAAACTTATCTCATACTCTATCTTTTCCCCATTTGTAGTATAAATATCCATATTGTCTAACCCCAAAATTCAGGACACACGGGCTAATACATGATTGACAAGAGGCCACAGTATTTCAAATTAGGATTATCTTTTAAAATCCAGGTCTTGAAATAACCATAGTCATAAGTTAATACTCACAGATTTACAAAAGGGGCCTCTTCTAGAGCTAAAACTGAGATAATTGCCTTTAAACTCCAATTCTGGAGAGACGTTAGCAAAACACAGGCTCCCATCTTGGTCTAAACTTGCCCTGTGCTTAATAAATTCTTGCTGAGTCACCCACATGCCACAGTGGGCCCTGCAACATGATCAGGGATCATTTGGTCCTTTGTTCAAATCTGTCTAATTGGCCCCATATCTTAGCATCTCATATTGATGAAATGGGATTTTAAAAATTCGGAGAAATTTTGAATGGAAAAATAATTTGCAAAAGGGGGCAGTACAATTTTGGATGTGTACTGTATATGAAAAAGGAAATTCAGAATTCTATCCAGTTTGTCCTGGTGATAATCAGAGATTGGATCGTCAATAAATGCATGTATGTGAGCCTTAAATTTTCGTTTTTTTAAAGCACCACGTGATCTCTTTTTCTCATGTGTTACCTCTAAGTGATGAATCAATGAGGGTGGAGGAAGCTGGTGGGCTGCAGCATTACTCTGAAGGGCTATCTACAGGTGACAGCTCTGCCTCAAGAACTTTGTGTTTTCTTCTTCCTATCTTTTCTTCTATCAAAGAAGATGTTGATTAGAGGCGTTATTATTCACCAAGCCACCTCAGCTGCCATGGTAAGCCACCATCAGCATTCAGATCCCTTCTCACTATATTTATTACCCCGTCTCATCCATTTTATCTTTTACTCATTTGCCCTGAAGAGCAGAAATCTTACCTGACTTAAATATCCCACTAAACTTCCACAATCACTTTTCCACGGGACAGCCGGGGGAGGTGGCAGAACACCAGTCTGAGAATTGGTTCCCAGGATTGGTCCTGGGCAATGTTAGAAAATGCAGTTTATCTTTAGGCCCTCCAGTTGCTTTCATTCATTTGTCAGCTATTTATTGAGTGCCTGCTGTGTGCTATGCCTGGGAGACTTAGAGTAAAGGGAACCGACACACCGGTTCCTGCCTTCACGAATATTCCATATCCTGCTCACTCTCTTTGGGGGCCTGTTTTCTCCTCCTTTTGCTCTTAGTGGTTTTGAGGCTCAGGCTCTTCCTTCCCTCCAGTCAAAAGTCTAGGACAAGGACCTAGTAAACTCATGTTCCATAAAGGTTAAACTACTTAGGATGTTTCTTCTCCAGGGGGGATTATATTTTAACTGAAAATCAAGTTTCAATCCAAAGTAATTTGTCATGACCCTGTAATAGTAGTGAGGAAGGTACTTCTGGTCTCTAGGAAGCCCTATCACATAGGCAGCTTCCTATCTCACTGACGAGAAAGGCCAGGAGGCTTTCTGATCACAGCCTGGTGGTGGTGGGGGTACCATACCTATAATAATGAGAGCCCCCACTTACTTCAGTATCTTTAAGAGCAATTTAATGTGCCAACTTCTTTTTTTATATTATTTCACTTAAATCTTTGAGAAGCCCTATGAGACACATGCACATATGTTACTCTACATGTATTTTATCAAGAAGAAAATGGAGGCTTATGGAGACAAATGGAAAACTTGAAGGACACCTTCAGCAGTTGATGATCCTGAAAAGGGAACCACTGCTGAAGCGTAAATTACAAATATGTTATCAGTTCTTTTTCATTAGATATATATAAAAACTACACTTCGGGAATATCGAATCAGTTTAGTAGGAATACTTGTTTAAAACAGGATATTCAATTTATATCTCTGTCTCTCTAAACTTGGGAAGCTTCTAAGTAGAGGTTGTAAAATCCTTTTCTTGATTATACTTTTCCATACAGCACAACTGAGAGTTGGTTTAATTTCAAAAGTTGGAGCTGTTGAAAGTAGACATAGTCAGATAAGCATCAGATTATTAGATTAATTTAGGTCATGAGATAGAGTTCCCTCAAAGGAAAATCCTTTGTCTTTTGGAATTCAACTGCACGGGCAGAATATCACCATGATTACATAATGCAAAACTCTTTTTGTAGAGTAAACTTAATTACAGAATGCCAGAATTGAGAATTAAAGAAGGATGTAATTGAATAAGATCTGGGTGAAGACCTCGAGGAATTGAAGTTCACAGTAACCATTAGATTAGAGACACCTGTTTCCAATGGGAGACCCTATTTTTGTTTTGCTTTAACATCTTAAACTTCTTGGATTACCTCATGGTCATTTGGCAGAAGTCCATCACAAAAAAATGAAAAAATAAGTGGATTACTTGTAGATATAGCCAAATTTTTCCTGATGAGAACATATTTGTCTTTTAACAAGATATTTGCCTAGGCATACTTCTCTTTTTTTGATGTAAGAAAGAAGACATGGATAATATCAATTAATGTCAGACAGCAAAGACAGACAAATGCTTCATCAGGTGGCTTATTCCAATTTTTTAGATTTGCCACTTCTTCCGCTTGGAAGGCGGAAGGAAATACTTAAAAGGAAATACAATGTGAATATCATTTACTCTAAAATTCATACCTGTGGTTCTGATTCTAAGTTGATTTTGAAAGGATGACCCTTCCCATCTTCAGTTACCTGTGGAGACCATAAGCGAGTGTCTGCCCTGTAAATAAAATAAAGTTCATAAACTCCAAATTCTAATGGTGCTTCTACTGTTAGTATACTTTAATTTCCTATAATGTTTGTGAAGACACTATCAACCCTTGATAATTTAAGCAAAAGCAATATTCTTTGCTCATTATTCTTTATTCTCCCAACCAATTAGTCTTACATTTTTAGTGTACTTCTGGGGAAACTCAGATGGATCAAAATTGCCTGGAGGAATGCTATGGGCTGAACGTATGTGTCACCCCAAATTTGTATGTTCAATCCTAATCCCCAGTGCGATGGTGTTTGGAGGTGGGGCCTTTGGGAGGTAATTAGGGTTAAATGAGGTCACGAGGGTGGGACCCTCATGATGGGATTAATGCTCTTACAAAAAGAAGAAGAAACACGAGATCGATCTCTCTCTCTCTCTCTCTCTCTCTCTCTGCATGGCTGCACCAAAGAAGGCCATGTGAGGACATACCCAGGAAGAGGGCTCTCAACAAGAACCCGACCATGCTGGCACCCTGATCTTAGACTTCTAGTCTCCATAACTATGAGAAATAAATGTTTGTTGTTTAAGACCCTCAGTCTATGTTCTTTTTGTTATAGCAGCCCAAACTGACTACAGCAAGGACATTTTACAGTTTCTGGGGAAAGTAGGTCTCTAATGCATGTGGTAAACAGTACAGGAGAGGAAGACTCTGGAGCCACACTCTGCAGATGACCACAGGGCAAACTCTCCTAGCCTACCCAGGCCAGCACAGGAGACAATGAGTGATCTGCCAGATGAATTTGCTGTTGCCTTCAAGGAAATGTGCTTTGTCCAATCCTTGTCACTTAGCTGTTGGGACCATGTGCTCCTGAGGGACTGTGTGCTTGGCAGGAGCACAGGTTATGCACAGATAGGGAAAGAGTCAATTTCACCCCATGAAATGGCAGATTGGCTGATTGACTGTGCCTTCTGTACCACAGAAGGGAAAATTGTGAATACGATAGTAACAGGATAAATACACAGTAACAACCACTATAACGCAAAACGTTATGTTCACAGTTCAGTTTCAGATCAGGGCTCTGATGGCAAAAGATCAGGTTCAATTTCCTAATTCTTTTTTTTTTTTTGGTTATAAATGTCTCATTATCCAACACTCATGTGCACATGCACCCTCACACCTTGTGAGATTCTTCTGGGCTGAATTCAGTACAAAAGAGTCAATGACATGCAGGCTATTAACAACCAATTTTTAACATGATCACATTTTGACAAGCAAGAGATTCCTTTAGGAGAATCTCTAAATTCCATCCCATTCTCTACCACCTTTAGAACAGCAGTATAACTAGACATGCCATTCAGTGTTTATGTGGCCAGTGCCTTTCATGGTTCTATTTTCCTAGTCAATTAACTGGATTAGTACAGGAAAAAAAATTCTTTTTGCCTCTTTCATTATTCTGACGTTCCAGAGAATTCTTTTTAGAGGTTGTTTGTTAACAGCTACTGGATTGACTGACTTCAGTGAAGAACAGACCAAAGTGGCTGATATATAAAGAAGCCAGCCAAAATTCTTGGTCCTGTCATACTCCTCACTAGGAGGATGAAATCATTTATAGTTCTGGTTCAGCTTCTCCTGCAAAACAGATCAAATGTTAACACCATTAATTAAAGAGCACCTGTCAACTTTGAGACACAGCTGGTGTGCTGCTGCTTTAATCCTGTCCTGTGCATCAGCGTGAGTCATGGACTCTGTACCAAAGCCATCAATAGCCAGGATGACATCTCCAGGACACAGGTTGGCAGCTGCCGCCTTGCTTCCTGGAGTAATCTGGAAGAAATCATGGCACCATTTAAAAACCAGCATTCTGCAATATCTTGAGTTTTGTGCCTGCCATTTATATTTCAGCTTGGTAACATTTTATTTAATTTAAAAATTTTTTTTTTTTTTTTGAGGAAGGTTGGCCCTGTGCTAACATCTGTTGCCAATCTTCCTCTTTTTCTTTTTTATCCCCAAAGCGCCAGTACATAGTCGTGTATCATAGTTGTGGAGTTGTAGCTCTTCTATGTGGGACACCGCTTCAGCGTGGCTTGGAGAGTGGTGAGTTAGGTCCGTGCGCGGGATCTGAACTGGCGAACTTCAAGCCACTGAAGGAACGTGTGAACTTAACCGCTACACCACCAGGCTGGCCCCTCAGCTGGGTAACATTTTAAATGTTTCACTGGCAGGAAATTTTAAATCTAACTTAAAATAACTCTTACTTGATCACTTGTGTTAGCTCTATTTTCCCATCATGCTAAATAAATCTGTTTCTTACTAAGCACATTTCATTTACCATGACATCTCTTTTAGAACACCTTCCAAACTCCCTGTTTTAATCATATTCTCTTTGCTTTAAACAAAATAATTGGTTTTTTAGTTTTTTTGTTGTTGTTGTTACCCAGAACTCTCTAATTGGGAATAGAACTTTACTAAATTTAGGGAGCTTTTATATTTGAACTGAAACTGCCTTAGCATCCTTCTAAGTTATGATCTTTAAAATTCACATGAAGGGGCATCTAGGATGTAGAAAGCTGGAAAGAGAATCATTCTTGCGTTAATAAGAAGCCATATGGGGCCCTTGAGGTGGCGCAGCGGTTAAGTTCACATGCTCCATTTTGGCGGCTCGGGGTTCACAGGTTCGGATCCCAGGCGTGCACCGACACACTGCTTGTCAAGCCATGCTGTAGCGGCATTCCATATAAAGTAGAGGAAGATGGGCACGGATGTTAGCTCAGGGCTAATCTTCCTCACAAAAAAAAAAAAAAAGAAGAAGCCATATAATATACAAAATTATAATTTCTAGGGGCTGGCCTGGTGGCGTAGTGGTTAAGTTCACACACTCCACTTCAGCTACCCGGGGTTCATGGGTTCAGGGTTCATGGGTTCACATCCTGGGTGTGGACCTACACACTGCTCGTCAAGCCATGGTGTGGGAGCATCCCACATACCAAGTAGAGGAAGATTGGTACAGATGTTAGCTCAGGGACAATCTTCCTCAAGCAAAAAAAATTATGAACAAATTGCTAAAGGCCGAGTATGAGCATTGAGAGTTAGCACTGAGAACCCCTGGGGACCACAGACACAAGGGAAGTTTGCAGTCACTCATAGTCTTCTCCATGAATGAAGAACAGATGGAACAAATAGAAAACAACTAACAAGATGGTAGATTTTAATTAAACCTTATTAGTAACTACTTTATATGTAAATGGTCTAAAAACACACCACATTCTGTTTTTTAACAGAGATTGTCAAGTTAGGTAAAAAAAAAAAAAAAACAAGATCCAATTTTATGCTGTCTATAAGAAATCCACGTAAGGTTCTTTTTTGGGGGGGAATGATGGGAAATGATATGGGAAAAATATGGTCTTAAATGTTCAAAAAATAGCAAATTTGAATTATTAATATGTTCGGTATTCAGTTAAAGGCAATGATTCTTTTGATTGCTATACCTACTCCCAATTTTTCAGGGTAAATCCCAACTATTTACCACTGCCTAATAGCCCTCACCCTCTCTTACCCTGCCTATTTCTCTAACATCGTCGTATACCATTCCTGCTCCCCCTCATCCAGTGCGCTGTAGCTATTCTGTTTTCCTGTTAGTTCCTCAAATAGGCGAAGCTTGTACCCTCTTCAGGGCTTTCCATGCCCGGTTATTTTTGCCTGAAATGCTTCTCCCACTCTTTACCCAATTGCTCCTTCTCATCCTTTAGGTCTGGCTTAAATGCCACCTTCTCAGAGAGACTTCCCCCAACATCTAAGTAGCTTCTCCAGCCCCTCCCCCATCATTCTCCACCATTACACCCTGTTCATTTTCTTCATGAAAACAATTTGTACTTTTATGTTTGTTTATTTACTTGTGTATTGTCTGTCTTCCCAACTAGACTGGAACTTCTTGAGGGTATGTATAATATGTATATTCCTGATGCTACACGGTGTATATTCCAGTGTTTGGAATTAATGAATAATTAATTGAAAAATGAATGAAAAGGACATATAAATCAGAGCTTATAAAACAAAAAGAGCTAGTCCCTACATACCCAAAGATGATGGCTATTAATGTCAACTTATCACTGTTTCGTTTGCAAGTTCCCACGATTTAAAGCAGAGTAATACATAGGAGTTGACTTAAACCTCAGACTACTCCAGGAATAAACTAGATTATCCCTAATGTCTTACTTGAGGATCAGTCATTAATTAATTTTTTTCTCTATTTGCTTAATCTAGCTATCGATTCTTTTTTTTTTTTTTAATTTTTATTTATTTATTTATTTCCCCCAAAGCCCCAGTAGATAGTTGTATGTCATAGCTGCACAGCCCTCTAGCTGCTGCATGTGGGACGCGGCCTCAGCATGGCCGGAGAAGCGGTGCGTCGGTGCAGCCCGGGATCCAAACCCAGGCCGCCAGCAGCGGAGCGCGCGCACCTAACCGCTAAGCCACGGGGCCGGCCCATAGCTATCGATTCTATTTAACTTTGTGACACTAAGGGAGATCCAAGATTCATCTAAATGAATAAAATTGCTAAAATAATAAATTCTCATGTGTCCTAGATCTTCAGTCTCATCGCTAAAATGTTTATTGTACTCACATTATTTCTGTGATCATCTCACTGTAGCAATCATGATCATTTTCCAGTAGGATCAGTTGGTAGGGGCTGGGTGAAGACAAATGGGGATTATTACATCTCAGCCTTTGGGAGGCATTGCATTCTGGGAGAAATTCTCTCAGAACCAGAAATGTTAGAAGAATGCAAGTTTCCATCCCTGACGTGACTTGTAGGGATAAAAATAATCTTAAACTTTTAATTTTCTCTAGTGATAGTCATCAAAATCAGTACTATTTTTAAACTTCTTAGGCCAGAATACTTTCCTTTGAGTAAAAAAATGAGAAAGCAGGGCTCAATGTGTTTGCTTTTAAAGCCTCACTTAGCTTTCTAATATACTTAAATAGCTATAAGTTATATAACTCTCAATCTTGATTTAGAAAAGCCTACCATTATTTTTTAGCTCTGGTTGGGATGAGTGGAAGGCAGAGCTGTGCGTGTTTCTGTCTATATAAATTTTAAACAGAGACATCTGGTTTGCTGAACTTAGATACTGAATATTACTAAATTTTATTACCAGTATTAATATGGAAGTTAATAACGCCATCTTATATTTACCTAAAATATTACATTTGCAAAGCTCTTTCTAATAACTTTGCCCCCTGCAACAACTCTAAGGCAGGCTGGACAAAAACACTACTTCTATTTTTCAGAGGAGGAGAAGTGTCTGAGTAACCTGTGGCTTCTTACTAAGTCGGGAGCAGCTGTACAGCTTTGTCACCAGCTGTTGCAGAAGTCGAATAGGAAAGGAGTTGATAGTGATGGCCAGAACACACTTCTGACTTTGCATTCAACCTGGTAATTGGTGTCCTGGGACCTCCAAGGAGAGAGTTGATACGAAAGGAGTATGTAGAGAGAGAAGGAGAAAACGCTATCTTTTCACTTCTTCCTAGTTCTGAAGTTCAGCTAGGCTAGTGATCAGAAAATCACCACTAAATTGGCCTGGGTTTAGTAAGTTAAACTATCTGTTTAATTGTAAGAATATATTATTTCCCACCATCACTTTATATATTTACTTTATTATATTATTACTTTATATTATCTTATTACTTTATATTATTGCTCACAATTTATTATTAACAGGATTTCCCAAATTACGAGACAAGAGAGCTAAAATGAGGAAGAGTTTTTCAATGGATTATTATTATTATTTTTTTAATTTTATTTATTTATTTTTCCCCCAAAGCCCCAGCAGATAGTTGTATGTCATAGTTGCACATCCTTCTAGTTGCTGTACGTGGGACACAGCCTCAGCATGGCTGGAGAAGCGGTGCGTTGGTGTGCGCCCGGGATCCGAACCTGGGCCGCCAGCAGCGGAACGCGCTCACTAACCGCTAAGCCACGGGCCGGCCCTTCAATGGATTATTTTTGTTTCATTAGGTTCATTAGGGTCTCAAATATCAAAAGTATTAGAGAGATCATTGGAAATAGTACTGCCATCAATCACCTCGCACATGTGTTCAAACTTCTCTGATTAGAAGAATCACCTGGGGTCCTTGCTGAGCATAAAGACTCTGATTCCCTCCAGATGCCTGGAATCACGAATCAGAAGCTCTAGGAGAGGAGCAGGGGAATTTGTGTTTTTCCAAGTGCATCAGATGATTTCCGTTATGCACGTCACCCTATTACTCGGGTCCGTTTGGAAAAAACTAATTTAAAACACAGATAAAGCATCTAGAATGGTCTACTTACTGTAGGAGGCATGAGAGAATTCCAAGATATATCCCTGATGGGATTTTTATGTTAAGAATAAAAATGATTGAAATAGTTTTGGAGCAAGATAATATATCATACAGGGCTGTACTATGCGGTGTGGATCAAAATACTGAGAAATTCCATTGATCAGTTGAGATGGGATCAGTTCTCCATTGCCTGCAAATAAACTCCAGTGCCTCACCTGGCATCTAAAGCCCTTTGGCACCTGGCTGCAATCTACATTTCTAGAGCCATACCCCACACCAGTTAAGTCAGAATCTCTGCAAGTGGTACCGGGGCATGGGTATTTTCAAAAGGTATCTGGGTGAGTCTAATACGCAGCCAGGGTTGAGAACTGTTACGGTATTATTATTATTATTATTATTGAGAACTATTGTCTCTTATTCTCAACAGAATCTTTTAAGATGAGTAAACTGATGCTCAGAAAGTATAAGAAACTTGTTTAGGGTCACACATCCGGTGACAATCTGAAATTCCTAGCTGGGTCTGTCTAACTTTATAGCTTAAGCTCCTCCCCCATCCCACAATGCCACTCCTGCAGGTAATCTCACCCCATCACTTCTCCTATCTCTTTGGCCATACTTTTCTCATAGAATACAAGTCAGGTTGTATCATGGTAGTTTTATGTACATGTCCCTTTTCTTCTATTGATATATGAGCTTCTCAGGGGGTAGAAACCCATTAAGTTATAATTGTATCCCCCACAGTGCCTTCCATATACAATACATTCTGTACTTAATAGATATTTGTGGGATGTATGAATGTTAGGAACATATGAACTAGAATTTCCATGCAGACACGTCTTTTTAGTAGAAAAAAATTAAACAGGTTTTTATTCATATCCACCTTCCTACTACACTTGAATTCTAGAAAAGGATTGCATTCAACTGTAAACATTTCTTTCTAAAGGTTCACATTTCAAATATAGTTTATATTAAAGTAATATACTTTTCCATGTTAAAGCCTGCAAAACTTAAGAATACACTAACATTTTCTATGTTGGTACTCAAGTCCATATAGCATCTCAGTTACAGGGATCTTGATCCTGGGTGTGCTCTGAATAGGAAGGAGGGAGGAGGGAGAGGAGGCAGAGGAGTTGAGTGGGCAAGGACAGTAGCATTAGATGTATATGATAATTTTACATCATGTACATAAAAGAAGCTTGTACTTTATTCCAAATTGGACCATTTGTGCAAACAAACCATCTGTAATTTGGCTATGATAGTAGATCCAACTTCTGGGTGGTCCAAAAACTGAAGAAAGAAAGAGACTCCTTAGAACTTGCTTGTCAGAAAAAGAAAAGCTGCTCACTTCGAGATGTGAACTTTGAACTCTATTCTCTGAAATGCTTAGGCCAGTTACATATGGTGTTTGCAATAACAACCCCCTCCCCCAAACTGAGCAGCCACAACTTAAATTTCTATTGCACAAAATATAGCACACCCATTGTCTAGAAACTGCTTTCCTACAAATTGTGTCACAACCAATTGCTAAAATCTTTTGAGAATGTCTGGTGTTTGATTTACCCTACTTCTGATGTTTTTTATAATAAGATTCACCTGGCTGATTAATGGGATTGTAAACAATTATGAGGCAGGGACATTCTGTCCTAATTTTGTGAGTTGTAATTTCAATTGATGGAGAGAGTTATGTTTGTAAACCCTTCTCCCAACTCTGGAGGAGCAGAGGACCATTGTCTAGGAGCATTGCTATAGTCTGCATTTGTAGAATGTAAGGCAGGGAGGGGAGGGTATGTAGGATGCCAAAAATTGAGTTAATTGACTTGAGGAATACATCTCATTTATGGGAATTTTTGTGACATTAAGCGTAGGCATTGGTATTTCAATTATTTGCATAATTAAGAACTTATCAGAAACAGAAAAATCAATTAACAATAAAACAATTCTCACTTTTCTTTATTGTGAAATATTTTTGAGGACACAATCTGTACCTATTTATGATAACAGTTATGTAAAAAGTGAACAATTTAGTCAATAATTAATATTGTGTTTATAGTTATTCTATAACACATATGATGTACTAGCCACTGTGCTCAGCACTGAGTAGCCCCCAAATTTGAAAGTTCCTGCCCTCGGGGAGCATGCGATTTATAGGATACAGAGGTACTCAAACATCTGTGGTGCAAGGCCTGCTATAAGGAGAGGTTGTAGGTCAAAAGCTATGATAATCAAATGGATGAAATGCTTGTTACTGGAAGAAGGCTAGGAGAGTGGTATTTGAATGGGGTTTCCACAGGCATAGAGGACAGTGGGGTGGGCTGGGCGAGATAATTCTGGAGAAAAATATGGAGCAAAGATATGTAAGAGAAATCATAAGTAGTCCAGAGTAGGGCACCACCACCTACCTATGGAGGGAGAGGAGGAAATGGGAGAGACAGGGAGGAAATGAAGTTGGAAACTCGAGTTGGGATAGAGAGTGAAAGCCCTGAATGTGTGCCAAGACCACACATGTTTTGCTGTATAAACTGGTGATGGTATTGAAGGATTTTTGAGAATGAGGAAGATAGGAGCAATCTTGCATTTCCCACAGACGGCTGGTAAGAACATGCAGGGTCATTTGGAGAGGGGAGACAAACAGCTGGGTGTGAGGTTATGAAATCTTGAATAGGGAGAGTGGTGGGGAAAAGGAAAGTTGTAGATCTCAAAGACATGGGATCAATAGGACCAGGTGAGGAACTGGACGACACAAAACACTCGTTTGGAGATATCTGTACAATAAGCAGAATTTTCCACGTGTGTGGACCTCAGAATGTAGGCTTTGGAGGCAGGAGACCTGGCATCAGATTTTGTCCCACCACTTGTGATCATCGGCAGATTAATGAATCTCTTGAAGCCTCATTCTCCTCATTTGCAAAAAGGGATATTACTACTACTCCTCTCATAGGATTATTGAGAGATTTAAGTGAGTTGGTGCATATAAAGGGCTTAGAAGGGTGCATGGCAAACCAAAGAGTATAACACACACACAACCTTCTTCATGGCCTTTTCACATAATATAAAAATTATAAAAGTAATGGAATAATTCTACTACCTAATTACAGCACTCATAATTATTTTTGTGTCATATCTTCTAGTCTTTTTCCAAATGATTTTTAGTATTCTTATAATTTCAGTGGAAATATTCTCAATTAGGTGCTCACTAAAGCAAAAAAGTTAAAGTGAATATGCTTTTATTTATTCATCAAGAATCTACTATGTGCATGGTTTTGGGGACACTTGGAATACAAAACAGTTTAACCTGCTCTCCTTGAGTTAATTAATTGAAGAGAAAAGGCATAGTCAAATAAAGTAATCACATATGGTTGTGCACTGTTATTGAACCAAGTGTCAAAAAGAGTGATACAAATTAGTTATGAGTTAAAATTCAAACAAGAATTGGCTTCTCAAATAATAACTGTCATTATATCAAATACATTTACCAATAGCTCCTGCTGCCCCATTCCAAAATGTAAGTACCGCTTTAAAATAACATTGTTTATATTGTCAGCAACTCAACATTTCAAACATAAGATTAATCATACTGACATGTTACATAATAGTAGCAAGATATTTCTTTTATAAACCACTTAAAGGATTTTTGTGACAAGATTATTTCTTTAGGATTTAATATAAATATGATTTATCCTTTGTTAGGATCAAAGAGCTTATTTCATTTACTATAAAAAAATGAAAACTATACTTCAGAAACTTTAAAATATTTCTTAGTAGAGATAATGGAAACTGTTTTCTTTGGTAAAGCCATAAAAGGCATTGCTTGGCCCAGATCACTGAAGCATTTTCTGCTTAATTTACTCAGGAACATTTTTGGGGGTATGTTAAGTTTTCATGTCTCATACAAAAACACGTGTCAGATGTGTTTATATGTTTTTTTAAAAATGTAAAACAAAGCTTGAAATGTTCCATGGTATGCGTCTGTATGATATGTTTTGAGATATTTTTAAAAGATGTTGCTTCCCAAATCTCACAGATGTATAAGAAGAACAGAATTTAAAAGGCATTGCTTTATCAAAAATCTATGTGAGTAAATCAGATTATAAAGTATACATTTATAAAATACAGTATAAGCAGTAAGGAAGAAAAGAAAAGAAAGTATAATAAAAGTATAATATTCTGAAAGCTTATGCTTTTAAATTAGGTTTCGTATGCTTTTTTATGTGATAATTGAAATAATAACAATAATTTTCTATTAAGACAAACACTTGTATTAGAAAAAAATCAACTAGACCAACTAGAAATTTTACTGTCAGGACAGAAATCCTGAAGTTTCCTTTTTCTTTTTTTCTAATTAGACAATAATTTAGGGAATATTAAGTAAGGGAAGCTTGACTTTGATAGTAAAGTATTATTTTCAGAGTTATTAGGCTGGTGGTGACTTCCCATCAGGTAAACTAAACTGACACGTTTTCTTTGTAGTTTGAGTTATAGGTGATAATTCCAAAGCCAAGTTCCCAGCTCTGGAAAATATTTATTCAAAATGCCTGGAAACCTAGGAAAACCGATTAGTAATATTTTCCCTGTCTGGGCTGATATGAGCGGTTCCAACTTGGCCGACCCAGGGTGCGCCCTGCGAACAGCGCCCTGCTGAAGTTTTCATCCAGACAAGAAAAGCTCTTAGATGCCCATCCAGCTCCAAGAAACAATCGCCAGTGTCAGTCCTTCGTCTCTCCTTCCCGGGACCCCCTCTCGTTTGTTACTGGAGGGAGACGGGAGTGGAGGATGGGAAGGCATCCCAGCCCTGGCAGCCCAGCCTTCTCTGAGCCCGGGGAAACCACGCCATCAGTTCACCTGTCTTCGGAAAGTTGCTGCGGACCAAGAGGATGCAGAGAGACCACTGGAGCTGACTTCGTTAATTCTCTAAGCTGGTCTGCATCCTCCGAATCTCTGTTTGCCAAGTTCCTGCTGCCCCTCGAACTGTGAGCCCAAAGCTGAGGACCCACCCAGCCCACCCGGGCTCACTGGCCACTCTCCTCCGCTCCAAGGGGACCCGCTGCAAGCCAGAGTCCCCGAGTTTTAGCGAAAGAACGGAAAACACCTACCCTGGTGATGACCAAAGGCTGGTTGAAGTCTATGCCCCCGGAGAGTCTGAAGCCCCAGGGCGCGGGGCCCGGGAGGACCACGGTCTGGGGCATGGTGCCTCCTGGCGCGGCCTTCCTTCAGCGCGGGGGCGCCTGGACTCCCAGGGACTGGGGCGCAGCGAGGGGCGGCCCTGCCCACGGCGAGTGTCCCCGAGCGGGACAGCCCACTCCGCTCCCGGGGCAGTGTCCTCGCCTGGACCGTGGCCCGGGAGCTTTATCCCTTCTCCCGAGTGACGTCACTGGCCTACCCTCCTCCCCGCCCCCTCCCACCAAGGAGAGCTCCAACTTTGGAAGAAAGAGACGCGCCAGACCCGCGGGAGTTCACCACAGCGCCCTGGCTGGGTGCAGCCTCCCAGACCTCTCCGGCGCGCGCTGGAGGACGCTTCGGGTTACAACTTCCACCCCTCTCTTAAAGTAACACCTGTCCTCCTGTTGATCTCCTCCTTAGAGCGCAGCAGTGCGCTTCATTCGAAGCTAAAAGCAGTTAAACCACAGTCTCTATGCTTTCAGTTGAAATAAAACCCAAGCATCATCAATACAATTCGTTATTTAGCAATTTTGAGTGGATAATATTTACTTATCAGCCGTGTGACCTTGGTGAAGTGACTTATTGTGCTTAAGCCTCAGTTTTCTCATCTGTAAAATAGGGATAATAATTGTACTTACCTCATAGGATTACCGTGAAAATTGTACCTCTCCACACTGAGATACTGTGAAAATGAGCTGCCTTTGCACAGTGCTTGGCACAGCATAAGTGCTCAATAAATATTAGGCATTTTTGCAATTAAGTACATAGAGTAATACATGATTATGGGTACACATAATACACTTAATGCATAAACAAATGTATTTGAAATTTATTTTTTAAAAACAAAGAAATCTAAGAGTGAAAATGTCATGCAAACATACACTCAATCCAATGAACCTTTAAAAGTACATATGGAGTCAGCCCGAGTGGCCTAGTGGTTAAGGTAGGGCGTGGACCTACTGGTCAGTGGCCATGCTGTGGCAGCCACTCACATGCAAAATAGAGGAAGACTGGCCACAGATGTTAGCTCAGAGCAAATCTTCCTCAGAAAAAAAAAAAAAAGTACATATGAGTACACAATTAATCAATATACTCAAAATATAGTTTAATTTTGATTGGAGCAATTGTCACCTCCCTCAAGTTCAGTCTCTAAACTTATGTTTTTGACACATGGGAGGCGAGTGTAACAAACTAAGGAGCTGAGACTGCCCTGTGTGGACACTGCAGCCAGAGTGAGGGTGCTGAGTGGAGTGCGAGTAAGGTGGACCAAGAGGACCCCTAAACTGGATGAAATTGCACAGAAGAAAAGGAAGGGGACGGGCATTCATGGAGCATCTCCATGGTCCAGGTGCTATCTTGATTGCTTTACGCGTGGGATCTTATTTCGTCCTCACGACGAGGCTATCAGATAGCTATTATTATTCCCGTTGTTTTTCAGATGAGGAAATAATTTCTTAGAAGTGGAGTAACTTGAATAAGATCACAGGGCTAACAAGTGATAGAATTGAGATGACAAACCCAGGTCTGCCTGGTGAAGGTATAAAGGTCAGGAGATTCTGGGGAGGGTCCTGGCATAGTCTCAGTGTAGAATCAAGTATTTCTTGTGTTATACTCTAGAATGTTCTGATTTCCGCGGACAGTGGGAAGAAGGAGGGGAGAGAAGTATGAACTGCTTTAAAAACCCAAAAACGAGGGTCTTGGACTTAATGCCCAATATGATGGGGCCATATTGGTCCAGGAGAGCAGAGCTGCAACATACTTTTAATAAAGTAGTCTGATTGGAAGTGGTTTTAAGACTGATAGAGAAAAGACAAAAGAAATTCAGGAAGCCGTAAGCAAAGCAAGCTGACCAGCCCGTGGGCAGAGTGTAAATCCCAAAACCAGCATTGGTACTACTTTGCCTATGTTGGTGAATGATATAAAAGTCCCAGAGGATAGGTGTTTTATGGTCCCAAACATTTTCCAGTGCCCCACCTATGTTGGGTTATCAGGGAAATAATCATAATACATTCTTGTTGATTTTGCCTATTTGGGCTGGCTATACTATTGCAAAACACGTTTCCTCTGTCAGTCACTGGTACACACACACACACACACACACACACACACCCCCAGAGGTCAATTGACAGAAAAAAAATCAGACAAGTTATTTGGTACAGTGTGATTGTAATAATCAATTGTTTATACCTTACCGCATGAGCTGGCTTATATAGCCAGTCGATTATGTGTTTTGTTTTTTGTCTTTTTGTTTGTTTGTTTTTCTGCCTTTTCACCAGTCATTTTGGCTTCATTTAGATGTAAGCAACATCTATACAACCTCAATATAATACCTGACGAGCTCTTAAGGCTTTACAGAGAGCATGGGGGGAGATTGTAACAGAAACTTAGGAATCGAGACTGTCCCGTGTGGACGCTGCAGCCAGAGAAAGGGGGCAGCTTTTGGTTTGGCTATCCTAAGAAGTTCTTTTGGGATGAGCCTTTCATTTATTTTCTTTTGATATTTCCCTTTTTAGAGGATTATGATAAACTCTTTATGACTCCGTTAAGTATTACTTTTGTGGGGCCAGCCCTGGTGGTGAAGTTCCGTGCGCTCCACTTCGGCGGCCCGGATTCGGTTCCTGGCCACGCTGTGGCAGCGGCTCACATACAAGAAGAGGAAGACTGGCAGTGGATGTTAGCTCAGGGCGAGTCTTCCCCAGCAAACAAATAAATATTATTTTTGTGATTATTGTTTTAAACCATGTTTAGAAAGCCTTTTAGCTTTTTCCTTTGAAAAAAGCATCAATAAAATTGTTCATTCTACTCTTATATAACTGGAAAGCTTTTCTGTTGGTTACAGCAATCGTCTCTCCTACTCTAATTCTCAAATCTATCATTTTGACCTTGAACGCTCATCTATTTTCTCATCCTGTTTTGCTAACTGCCTACTGGTACAAATACAATTCAACCTGTTCAAAACCAAACCCATCATTTTTTTTTTATTCATGTCAGACTGATTTTCTGGCCTCTGTGCCTTTCAGTTTCCTCATTTCTGTTCCTTTTTCTACAATTGTTCTAGGCTTTTTGGATAGATGTTGTAAATTTTCCCTCTTCTTTATTTCCTTTATATCAAATGTTGCTGTATATTGTGGTTTCTTTGATTCACTCATTCAGCAAGCATTTATTGAGCGTCTGTGACACGCCAGGCACTGGGAATGCAAAGATGAATAAGAACCACTTTCTGTCCTCTAGGAGCCAGCAATAAATAGGGGAGTTAGAGATGTAAAACGCAATTATATAAGGTGATGAGCGCTGGGACAGCATTTTGTACAGTGATGGAATACGAATGAAGTAATCAACTCTCCTTGGGGAAGGTATCAAGGAAAAGTTTCCAGAGGAAGGGAAGTTAGAGCTGGATCTTGAAGGTAAGAGTTTTCCAGGTGCCTGGGAATTGGAAGGAGAACATTCAAGGCAGAAAGAATGGTAGAGGATGTACAGCGGCAGAGATGGCAAATTAGGAACTATCCAGTCATTTGGTATGGACAGATCTTAGCACATTGGGTAGGGACGGGAGACAAGGGTCATAGCAGTCAGGAGCCATATCAGAGGGGATTTTGTGTATTACACTATTGTTTTGACTTTTTCCTATTGGGAACCTTGGAAGAGTTTTAAGCAACATGTATAATAATCAGATTTGTATTTTACAAGCACCATTTTGGATGGTGGGAGGATGAATCACAACTGCAGGAGATAAGGAGCAGGGAGTCCAGTTAAAACTTAATAATCCAGGGGAAGATGTTGATTTGGGCAATGGGGATGGAGAAGAGTGGGCAGATATGAGAATCATCAAGAAGGTTAATTGACACAATCTGGGGACAGATCTCACATGGAGGATTAGGGAGAGTTTAGGAGATTTGGATTGCTCCCAGACTTCTTCGTTGGGTATTATGTGAATGGTGGAATTACTAACAAGGAGAAAATGTATAGGAGTATAGCAAGATATTTTTCTTTTAACGAGGGAGTGGAAGATTATAGCACAGTTTGGGTCACGCTGGGCTTGCAATACCTGTGGGATATCTTTGCAGTTTAGTGTACTGGTTGAAAGACCAAAATTTGGAGCCAGACTGCCTGGGTGATATCCTAGCTCCACCGTACTTGCTGTGTGATCTTAGGCAAGTTATTTAACATCTTTGTTAAAATGATGATAATAATAGTACTTGATAGTACTCCTAGAGTTATTGTGAGGTTTACATGAGTTAATAAGTACAAAATACTTAGAACTGTGTCTGGCACATGCTAAGTGCATATAATTATTTGCTATTATATTATTAGTGGTCATAGTAGAGTAAGCAATTGGATATGTAAATGTAGAGCAATTGGATATAAATCTAGAGATCTGGGCTTGAAATGAGTATCTTAGAGCTATAGTAGGGGCTGTAGCTATGAGTGCTAGCCGTTTTTAAAAAAATGGTTGCGAGGGCTGGCCTCATGGCCTAGTGGTTAAGTTTGGTGCACTCTGCTTCGGCAGCCCAGGTTCACGGGTTCAGTTCCTAGGTGCGGACCTATGCCACTCATCAAGCCATGCTGTGACAGCAACCCACGTACAAAATAGAGGAAGATGGGCACAGATGTTAGCTCATGGAGAATCTTCCTCAAGCAAAAAGAGGAAGATTGGCAACAGATGTTAGCTCAGGGCAAATCTTCCTCAGCAAAAAAAAAAAAAAAAAAGTTGCAAATTCTTTGACATTCCTCATTTCAAAAGGCGGAGTTTATGTCCCCTCCTCTTAAACTTGTGTAGATGTGTGACTCTTATGTTACCAATAAAATGTGGAGGAAGTGACATTGGGTGACTTCTGAGGCTAGGTCAGAAAAGGTGATGGAACTGCTACCTTGTTGATTGCAACATTTGTGCCTGAAACCCTCAGCTGCCGGGCAGAAGCTCTGAGGTGTCATGCTGTGAGGAAGCCCAAGTGGCATGGAGAGGTCATATGTTGGTCCTACTATTGGTAGCCCCAGACCAGGCACCAGACATGTGAGTAAAGAGTCCTCCTTCCAGCCCCCAGCCCTTAAGTCACCTCCAATCTCCATGTCCTCTCAGCTCAGGCCCCAGACACTGTGGAATAGAGAGGAGTCATCCCCCTGTAGCCTTTCCAAATTGTTGATCCACGGAACCTGTGAGCTAATAAAACGGTTGTTTTAAGCT